GATAAATCCCTTGTCCAGAAGCTCACTGAGTTGGCTGGACAATTCCTGCATTTCAGCAGGTGCCAATCGATATGGTGATTTAGCGAGAGGAGTTGCTCCTGGGACGAGGTCGATTCGGAACTCAACCTGTCTCTCTGGGGGTACTCCTGGGAGATCTTCAGGAAACACGTCCGGGAATTCACACGCTACCGGAATGTCTTGGATGTTAATTTCTTCTTTGGTCTTGTCCACTATGTGGGCCAAGAACGCTAAGTTGTTCTTTCGCAGATGTTTTTGTGCTTTGATGCACGAGATAAGACGAAGATTCGTGCTAGGCTTGTCTCCGTAAATTACTAGGGTTTCGTGATTCGGGAGACGAAGGCGAACGGCCTTCTCGTGGCACAAAACCTCAGCATGGTGGGGGCTTAACCAATCCATGCCGATAATCACATCGAAACTCCTAATTGACACTGGCATCAGATCTATTCGTAAGACGTGTTGGTTAAGGGTTAGGGTACATCCGATGTAGATCTCCCTAGTGGATTCGGTTTTCCCATTGGCCATTTCCACCGTATAGGTTTCATTTAGCTTCTGGGGTTGTTGTTTTAATAAATGTTTGATTAGGAAAGTAGGGGTCTCCCGGGTGATGAAAGCCAGCCATGCTGTCTGCGCGAGTACGTACATATGCTAACATTATCCTAGGATGCTATGACTATTGTACAGACTAAGCAAACATTCTCTTTTTGGGTGATAAGGGTATAGTTTTTGGTTCTCTGGCTATCCCGATCTCATCAAGACGTGTGTTAGTTTTACCTTGGAGAGAATGTAGTTGATCAGGCTACATTCACTCCTTGGTATCACTAAGAACAGTCCCGAATTAACCGAGATACCAGTATTATTGTGTTTGATTCAGCGTTAGGTTCTTATCCCTAATGCAAGCAAGTGTGTTTTATTTACTTGTGTCATTCAGAGTTATGTTAGTCCCTCTTTTTGGTTTATAGTTGCATATCAATGTATGGCTCGACATGCTAGTTCACTATAAACAAAGCTCTGATACCAACCTGTCACACCCCCGAACCAGACGGCGGAAACGTCCGGGGGCTTGCCGTGACTCAATTGTATACCATAACATTGAATATATATGAAACATAACAACATTCGTTACCATTCATCAACATAGTACAACCAGTAGTGTTTACATATCAAACATTGTTTAAACATTACATTCCCAAAAATTAAATTGTTTAATTCATACATAAATAAACTGCAACAGTCACTGAATGTGATTTCCCTCGATTCACTGGTTCCCTGAGAATACAAGTATTTTGAAAAACGTCAACATATGAAATGTTGGTGAGTTCATAAGTAGTGTTTAAAATCGAATGTTTGTATTGTTTGAAAAACCACCAGAAAATCCGATATTTTCTGAAAAGGAAAGCTTTTAAAAAGGTTTGTGAAGATCCATAGGTATGCTTTGCTTGTTTCTATACTTAAAAAAAATGTTCATTGAAGTTGTATGCTTTTCAAATTTGTGTGTATTGAAAACCCTAGGAAAACCCGATGTTCTCCTAGTTCCTTGAATTACGTGATGTTACATTGAAACCATTGCATAGCGTATAGTGTCAGTCCCGGGCGACGTTGGAAGGTTCTCGAGCAGGATTATTTACTAAAAACCCGCGTTACACAAACGCCCAGTTTATAGTTATACTAACGACTCCGAAGGCGTCGTCAGTACTAATCGCGTTATCCAATCGCCCTGACTAGGTGTAGTCCCACATCCGAAGAGAAAGAGGTCACGAAGACCCCGGTAACTCCATTAGCCGGTTGGGGACAAAATGTACGAGGGGTCCCAGACCCGCCTCGCATGAAATGTAGACCTTACTAGCAAGACCAAAGGACCCTTGGGGACCGGTGGTATACAAGCCATTGAAAGTCCATTTACGTTGTGTCGGATCGGTAAAACCCAACACTCCGTAAAAAAAATGTCTTCGGGCCTTAAGATCAGGTCATTGGGCTAGCTAGGCTCAACGAACAAGATTTTACACTTGTGGGGCCCAAAGATGGTGCATAGACGTCTGTGCACACTCGCATGTGTATGTATAACCAAACGTTACTTGTATGAATCGTAGTGTTAGTAGTTGTAGATTTTTATTGGCTCGAGACCGAGCCAATTCGTTTAACAACGACTTTTGGTATTGTAATGTATTGTATTTCGTTGATAGTCGTGGTGCCATCATTCGATCAAATTGTGTATATTGAACTAGCCTTGAAATATTCCTGTTTCAGCCCCTCATCATTTGTAAAAATTACATTTTTAACCCTTTATATTAAATACTTCCCGGTTTAGTCCTTAAACTATTTTTCTTGACATTTTAACACCAAAAATTATTGAAATTAATATTTTTCAACATGTTTTTCATAAAAACAGTTTAAGTTCTTAAAAATGTAGTTTTCACGGTTTTAACCCCTTCTTTTCGCAACTTTTACAATTTTGGCCCAATTTGGAAAATTTTTGCAACTTTGGTCCTTTTTAAATTTAAAAAGCATTTTTAACCTTTGAAAAGGGGTTGGAACACTTATAGTCCACTGTTTTACAGAAAGTTACAGTTTTGGCCCTCCAAACAGAAAAATTCGCATAATGGGCCTTATTGGGCCGAAAGTTACATTTTTAGCCCATTAAGCTTAAAATTTATGATTTTAGTCCCCTAAATGAGTGTATTTCCAGAAATTTACTTATGAAAACTGTTTTGGCACACTTCATCCATCAGAATCTGTGAAATGACGATTTGGGCCCTTATTTTTGCATTTTTCACATTTTAGGCCCAAAATTTGTGTTTTTAACCCAAAGAAATTATTACTAAACTACTTAGCCATTTTTCTTGAAGCACTTTGTGTTTAGAAATATATTTGAAGTAAAAATCATGTAGCACAAGTTATATCTCGGTTTTGATGAGTTTTGAGGCTAGATCCAACATAAAAACACATAAAAGCATACATATAAGCATGGAAATCATACAAGGCATACAAACACATATAGATCTACACTTTCACTTGTATTCCCCCCCCCACAAAACTCATAAAAACAGAAAATAGGGGGTATGAAGCTCACCTTGGGGTGTTGGTTCGGTTTTTGCAAGGAAAATGGAAGGAAAAATGAAGTGTTTTTGGCCTTGGCTCCCTTTGATGAAGATCTCGAGTTTTGAGATGGTTCTAGGGTGCAAGATCACGATTTTTGCATAGATTAGGAAAGGATTTTGATAACAAAAGAATTTAAACCATAGATCTATGCATAATCTTACCTTAGATGATGATTTACTTGCAAAATCCTCTTGGAAAGTCCCTAATTTTCGAGATTTTTGGAGAGGGGAGGAAGGAGAGTTCTTGAGTGAATCTAGAGAGAAATGAAGATATTTTTGATGTGTGTGGTGTTGCTCTCGGCCGAACAAGAAGAGAAGAGAGAAAAGAAGTGATCTTTGATATGATGTTTGCTTGGAAACATGAGTTATATGCATGGAAGTCCAACATGTAAAGGTGAGGTGGCAACCCAAGGTCAACTCTCTCTTTTCCTTGGGCTTGGGCCGAGAATTTGAAGGGAAGTAGGAAAAATTTGGGCTTTTGCCTCTAAGCCCACTATTAGAGGTAGTTTAGGGTATTTATTGGCCTTATAAAATAAAATTGTGATTTTTATGCTTTATTAAGCTAGGTTAGGTTAAATTATGGATCAAAACTTGTGTTTTATTTCATTCTAGGTTCTACCTAGCCCAAAATATTGAAATAAACGAATGTGGGTCTAATTAGAGCCCAATTAGGGTCCTAAACCCATGATAGTCCAATTGGAAGCTTATTGGTCCATTTGGATCCAATAAGGAAGTCCTAGTCCTAAATGGACTTAACAAGAACTTCTAGGGTCTCCAATTGTTTGATGACTACTTATAGTACTTGTATCTTGTATTTGATTGAAGCTTTTGATTCACATTAGGTTGAATGCATAGATTACATGGCTCAAAATTTACAGTTGTGACAGGTGCATTGGTCAACCCGAAGGGCATAACCAAGAACTCGTAGTGACCGTACCGGGTCCTGAATGCCGTCTTTGGAATATCATCTTCTTGAATTCTGAGTTGATGATAACCAGATCTCAGATCGATCTTCGAGTAGTAGCAGGATCCTTGCAGCTGATCGAACAGGTCATTGATCCTCGGGAGTGGGTATCGATTCTTGACGGTAAGTTTGTTCAGCTCTCGATAGTCAATGCACATCCTGAACGACCCATCTTTCTTTTTGACAAACAATACCGGAGCTCCCCAGGGTGAAAAGCTTGGCCGGATAAAGCCTTTATCAATTAGTTCCTGAAGTTCACTAGATAGTTCTTTCATTTCCGATGGTGCCAGGCGATAAGGAGATCTTGCCACTGGCGTGGCACCCGGTATTAAGTCGATTCGGAATTCGACCTGCCTGACTGGGGGTAGTCCAGGTAAGTCCTCCGGAAATACATCCGGATAATCGCACACTTGTGGGATATCTTTGATTTCCTTACCCTTGCCTTGCATATCCACCACGTGGGCCAAGAAAGCGAAGCATCTCTTCCGCAAGCACTTTCTCGCCCTCATGCAAGATATAACTCTTAAATTATTTCCCGATTTATCTCCGTAAATCACAATAGCTTCATCGTTGGGTAGGGGCAGTCGGACGGCTTTCTCATAGCATAGTACTTCTGCTCGGTGAGGTGATAACCAGTCCATTCCGATAATCACATCGAAACTACCAATGGTCATAGGTATTAAGTTGACGTGAAAGGTGTGGTTATTCAAGGTGAGAAGGCAATTTGTAAGTATTTCTAAGGTACTTTCTATTTGTCCATTCGCCATTTCTACCGTGTAAGCCTCGTTAAGTTTGCAGGATTTATGGTTTAGCATGCTTCTAAACTTATGGTCAATGAAACTCTTATCGGCACCAGTATCAAACAATACAGAAGCATAAATATGGTTGATAGGAAACGTACCAGTAACCACAGTTGGTTCCTAGCGAGCATCTCCTGCGGTGATCACAAATGCTCTTCCTTTGCCCCCGTGATTTTTCAATTTTGGACAGTCCTTCCTGAAGTGTCCTGGTTGGTTGCATTCGAAGCAGTTACGGCTTCCTCCCGCAATGGTGGTTGAGTTCGTTGTGTTTGGTTCCTTTTTACAGTAACTTGCGATGTGTCCTCTCACGCCACAGTTGTTGCAAGTTATATCCCTACAATTTCCTACGTGATGAAAGTTGCATTTGGTACAGCGAGGCAGAGTTCCACTGTAGGGCTTGGATGGGGTGGGAGTGTTCGTGATTGCGGCATAGACAGCAGTAGGCTCTGGCTTGGGTTTGTGATGCTTGGGGTTCCCCTTTGACTTTCCCTGGAATTTTCGCTTCGTTCCCTGACTCTGTTTTGCTTGTGGAGCCATGGTACCCTGACGGATACACTGTTCAGTCAACTGATATGCCAATTGCTTAGCGCTATCAAATGTGGAGGGTCTAGATGCAGTCACCAGACCTTGGACTGGCGACACCAATCCCCAAATGTACCTTTCAATCTTCTTATCTTCTGGGGTTACCATTCCTGGACAGAGACTTGCAAGGTCGTTAAACCGAGAAGTGTAGGCAGCCACTTCCGATCCTTTCATGGTGAGATTCCAGAGTTCTTGCTCCAAAGCTTGGACTTCCTGTCGGGGACAATACTCCTTGACCATCATTTGTTTCAGAGGTTCCCAACCCATTGCATAAGCTTCATCGATCCCAATGGACTTAGCATGGTTATTCCACCAAGTTAGGGCAGAATCCATCAGTGTACAGGTAGCATACTTTACTCGGCAGTCCTCGGTGCAAGCACTGATACGAAACACTGCCTCCATTTTTTCGATCCAGCGGGTTAGACCAACAGCTCCTTCCGTGCCGTAGAAGGGTCGGGGTTTGCATCCCATGAAGTCCTTGTATGAACAGGGCCTGGAATTGTTTTGGTTCGCAATTGGAGTGCCACCCCCATTTCTACTGTTTCCCGAGTTGTCATTCTGGGCTGCCTCATATGCGGCTATGGCCGTAGCAATTCCTTGGGCAAGTAGGGTTTGCATGAAGGTGGGATCCATTTGGAACGGTGGGTTTGAGTTATTGACGACCGGTGGGGTTTCATCTGGTGTTCCTTCTGTAGTTCGAGTTACCACTGGCATACCTCTTTGATTGCCTCGGGGAGTTGGTGGGGGACGAACTCGTGGACTCTTTCGTGGGGCCATTGTCCTAAACATTCAGAAAACACCCTTTTTTTTTTAGTTGTTTGTAATTCGTAGTCATGATGGGTATGTTTGAGTTGTATCTTTGTGTAATTGTCTTAAGATTTCACGGATTTCCAAATTATATCATGAAATTCCTTGTTCGATAGTATACCAAGTAGTTATAGCATTTCTCAAGCAATACATATGATAAATTTCAACAATTAGCAAGATACCAAACTAGATTCAAAAATCGACCTGCTTGTTTTCAGTTAGAAAGGTTACAAAAGTACTAACCGCGCAAGGTTAGAAATGGAAAAAGCTTCACAAAGAATAATTTCCAACATGCAATGATCTAAACTTGTAGTACAATTAGCTTCTCCAACAAAAATCCTAACCATACCTTAGGGCACAAGCCACCCTAGTTAGATGCCTACCATCCTAAGTGATAGACCAGATAGCGGGCCAGCTCCTCAAATTTCTCCTGAAGTTGACGTCGCTCCTGTAATGCAATGGTCGCTCTGTGCTCGATTGCATCTAGTCGGCTCTGCATAACTTGAATCCGGTACTCTAGGGCCCTGATATGGGCACCCATGGCTTTCGCCTCAGTTCGACCAGCGCTCATGTTGTGATAGAGTGTCTGAATGGCTTCTGCATCATCCTTCTCCTCCTCCTCAACTCTATCAACTCGCCGCTCGATCATTCTAGTGGTATTATCTGAAGCTCTAAAAAGTTCCTCTAGGGATTTGAATCGTTCTGCTAATCTGTCATCCTGATCCTCGGGGTCACCCCCAAATGGTGCACGTGGTGGTCCTCGAGAAGACTCACCTCTCTCAAAACGTGGAGGATCATTAGTAATCCTCCTTTGGCGGAGCATGTCGGTGAGCCAAGTGGGCTCGAAGAAAGAACTTGGTTTCCTCTTCTGACCGCAGATGGGTCGGGAAAGGTAGGAGAAGGTGTCTAGATGGGATACTGTGGGAACACTCATCCTAGGAGTCCTCTGCAATACAGGACTCTTTCCGTGGCGGTGATGTGGCTGATAACACAGTCTAGGTGGTGAGGGAGGTGGAGTAGCAGTAGGCTCCTCATCTACGAGGCTCTCCTCACCATCCACTGGGCCATCATCATTCATTTCTTCTTGTACCCCCTCCAATATACCCTCATTGTCTGACTCTGCAACATCCTCATCCTCGTCCTCTGACGGGTCTTCCTCCTCTACAGGGTCTTCCTCTTCTGAAGGGTCTTCCTCCTCGGCGAGGTTAGCTGGGGCGTCTTCAGGAAAATATGGGTCCCCAACCAAGTGCATAGGAGCCTCATGATGATTCTCATGGTTTGCAGGGTCCATCCCATCCCGGTGGTCGTTTGCCATCTGCGTCAAGGGGTTTAAAGAAAAATTAGTATTTTAGAGATGATTTTTAATTGTGTGAGTGTTTTAAAGTTGTTAGAGGGATTTTAATCCATTAGGTATCTGCAGTGTATCTTGAGAACATCTTCCAATCTCTAAAACTCTCAACCATTGTAGCCTGTCAAACTCGTCGCTCAAGGTTGGTTGTTCACCAGCCCGACCATAAATAACATAGGCGCGCGTTCCAGGTTTATTTATGGTATGGCCTATGCACGATACTAACCTTAGTTGAGGCTTTTGACCTAAAGGGTTGAGTTGGCAGCTTTAGTTGAAGGCATGTCGGATTTTTTTTTTTTTTTTTATTAAGTGTTCTCATCGCGGTCAGAGTATATATATAAATCTTATATATTATTGTTGGTGAGATTTGTAGTATTATTAAAATTTGTTTTGTACTTCATGACTACAAATTGCGGACGAGGGTCTGACATGAAACACCGGGGGCAAGACCATTGTGGCAATTAAGCCGTTTTGAAATCTAGCAACCCTAGCGGCCCTTCAAACCAGTTTCCTCTCCCGTTAGCAGTCAAGAAGTAGTGTATTTATTAATAATACTTTTATTAGGAGCCTGTAGCTATAGTTGTATTTCCCCTCTCGAGGATACGAGTTCTCTATAGCCAATTTAGCTCTGATACCAATCTGTCACACCCCCGGCCGAGGCGGCGGAATACGCCGGGTTGTGCGACTTAGTTCATGGATCCCAAGCAAATTGAATATACATCACAAGTTACAACAATAACAACATAGCGGTTACATTCAAGTTTAAAGTTCGAATACAAGGTTCATACATATATTAATAGGTTCATAAATCCGCGATAACAAGTACGCCAACATAACAAAACTAAATGAGACTAGATTGCCTGAAAATCCATGAACAAATCTTCTTTTAAAGGCTGGTTCACCGATCTCCTGAGAATACATGTGATTTGAGGGTCAACACAAAGGTTGGTAAGAGTTACAGGTTTTCTGCTAACCGCAGTAATGATACTTTATAAGTCTAGAAAGTATTTCTTTTGTGGTTAAAGCCATGTTTGATAAAGAGTTAAATCACAAATATATCTATGCTTGAAATATTAGTTAAAGAGGTGAATCATAAGTAAATCCATGCTTAAAATGTTTGATACAGTGATAAAACATAGGTAAACCCATACTTGAAATGCTTGATAAAGAGTTAAACCATAAGTAAATCCGCATTTAAAATGCTTGATGAAGAGTTATACCATAAGTAAGTCCATACTTAAAATGCTCGATAAAGAGTTAAACCATAAGTAAGTCCATACTTAAAGTGCTCGATAATCAGAGAAACCGGATCCGTGGTTTCTAGTTAAAGAGTCTAGTTAATGCATATAGTGAGTCCTATAACCGAGCTATGTGACCAGTTATAATCCCTGCACAACGCTTCATTAGACGTCGTAGTTATACCAAAGATAAATATTCACCCGTTTCGATTGATCAGTCGAGGTTGTAGCTAGCAACCGCAGGTGGGGGTGTCAACCCGTATAGATCTATACATATGTATCTCGCTCCGAGGATTAACGGTTATAGTTAAATGGGAATACTAAGTGGTTAAACTTAGGTAATGAATACTGTCTCACTATAGAAGCCATTAACTAGGTTATACGGTAAAGTTTCACTATAAAAGCTGAATAAGTTCGATAAATCCGTAAAAATGTATGTAACTCGCTTAAATAGATAAAATGTTTCCTCACATGGATGAATGATTTCCAAGATATAATTGTTATAATTTGTACATATATAACTAATAAATATGTGTGCACAAGCTCGAGGTAAGTAAAATAAATTATGCACATGACTAAGTATTTTTAAACGCATGTATATTGAAAAGAATTCGGTTTATAATACATTATTTTGACAACGATAACATTAAAACCAGATATGTATATATTTAACATGGTTATAAACATATTTCATAATCGGAAAATGTATTTATATATATTTCACATGTATTCCCCCCCAAAATAATAAAACATAAAAAGGGGCCGTAACACTCACCTTCGTAGTGTGATTCCGTATTAACTAGATATAAAAATTGAGTCGTTGAACACTGCGAGAACACGAACTAGCAACGGCCCAAAACTGGAACTGTATTGTAAAAATAAATCAATTAAGGGGCTAATCCTAACTAATTTACATCAAGTTTGAGAATGTGGGACTACTTTTGTTAACATTTCCAAGGGAGGGGCTGATTAAATTTATTTGAAATGGAAGTTTGAGCTTGCTTCTCCTGTTCTTTTTACGAGGGTAGCAATTGAAACAGTGGGTCCCTAGTACTCTTCTATTTTCGAACAAAATGTAAGATACAAGACCATAGGGGCTGAAATGAAAATGTTTTCGACAAGTGAGGGGGTTGTTTTGCTTTAAATGACAATCAAAGTTGGAGAGGGCTTAATAAGAGTCTTCATAACTTTGAGGTTTGTTTTAACTAAAATGGAATGGAAGTGAGTTTGCACAGTATTCGTATTTTTGGCTTGCATCTACACAGAAGAAACACTCACACAATATATATATATATATATATATATATATATATATATATATATATAAATAACGATCTGGGTCTCACATATGCGTTAAGCAGGACCCAAATACTACAAAATCTTTTGGTTTTCTTGACGATAGTTGGAGCTTTTATACATAATCCCCATATATAAACAAAAGTGAGCTAAAGGTTACGGGAACGTTTTATAAATTGGTATGATATTAAAACCCTGCAAAATATATATATATATATATATATATATATATATATATATATATATATATATATATATTTTTCTTCCTAGGCATTCATTCGAACCCCACATGCATGGGTTACCGAAAGTTTGAACTTATTCAACGAGATTTACACCTCTTGGTGTGATCCACTATGATTGGAAATTTTCTTTATGATGACGAAAGAATTAAGGCAAGGATATGATGGCGACTGTGAAGAAAACTCAAAGTAAAACGACAACGTTTTGGTTTCTTTGGCTACTTGAGGTATATGGCGAAACAAACCAACAAAGAACGTAAAAGTAAGAGGAAGAGGGAGAGCGACTTACGATGGATGAGGAAGGTCGACGAAGGTGGTGGCGGGGGTGGTCAAGGGTGGCAGCCCCTGATTCTTCTTCTTCTTCTTTTTTTTTTGACAGAAAATCAAGGAGAAGGAGGGCAATGGAGGTGAGGTGGTGTTGAACGATCCAACAATGGTGGGAGGGTGAAGTTTTAAGGTAATCGTGGGTTAGTCCAACGACAAACAAACAAAACTTGGTCACTTTCACCCTTTAAGCTTACTACCATTTTAGTTCACGGAAAGAAATTCTGCACCACCTCAAAGGGGAGAGGTTTGACTTTCACAAAGTCCAAAACATGGATAGAGACGTAGGAGAAGGAGGGAGAGACGTGGGCTGCATTGGTTTACAACATTTATTATTATTATTATTTATTTATTTTAAATGCATAACATTTATTTTGCCTTGGAAATAGAGTCTTCTTCGTATTTTTAATTTTTGATGTCGTGAAATTTATCTGGTCGTGTTATGTAACAGATCTTACTTTCCAGGGTTTCAGCAACACGAACGATTTTTTTTTCTTCGTTAACCAAAGTTACAATTGCGCTTTAAGTTTCGGTCGACATTTTCCATGATTTGAGATAGGATAATCCTTTCATATAGTATTTCATTTGAAAAGAAGTTATATTTCTACTATAATAAGCATGCAAATTCATTTGGTCAAGATACAAAGATCCACGGTGAACTAGCCGTTTACAGACTCAGACTTAAATTTTGGGTTGTCACACTGAACCAACTCTTCTATCGAATACTGAAGTGGATAGGGTTTTCTACAGGGTTCGTGCGAGAATGGAAATGTCTAAAGAATCCTAGGAGATTATTAACATTTCACTGGGTGATCCATATCGAGTCCTGCTACGATTACATAGGGTACACAAATCTTATATAGATTAGATCCAATAGGCCTTCGAATATGTGATATTACTCTATATCCACATCCCAACGAGGAAAAGGAAGTAGAGCGAAACCACACATTCTTAGCCTATGGGATCCTTATTATATATAACCCTGGGAGTATACCCTCGGTAATTGTAGGTATATCAATAAGCATCTTTTTAGTTCTTCACACAAGGTTATCTATGGATCCTAAAATACCCCTATGGTATTTTAATTTCTTCTTTGTTTCTTAACTTCTGAATATGATTATGGGTTTAATGTGAATCTTTTAGTATTCCATAATACTCCCATAGTATTTTAAACTTTATGTTTGGCTCTAGCATTCCTAGTTGGTAAGTTTCATACCTATTGCAACACCACTATCACTCCCAGGCACACGTTCATCACATCTAGAATAAATGTAGTTGATCAGGTTACATTTATTCCAGCTCATGATTACATAACTGCCCAGGTTTGACGGTAATGCTCAACATCCAAAGACTTTTATTCTTGTTCTTCTTGTGATTCTTGTGTTCGAGTGTTTAGATTTCGGATGTTCTTATACTTTAGTAAAATATGGTTATATTTTAAAGTATAATTTTTGGTCAGAGTGTTTTATCCCTATGTATATATAGGCTGTATATCTTTTATGAATTGATATACTTAGCTCGCTATAAACAATGCTCTGATACCAATCTGTCACACCCCAAAACCGGAACGGCGGAAACGTTCTGGGGTGGATGACGTGATGTCAAGTATCACAACATATGCAGTATAGTAATCAAAGTATAACAACCATCGCATTAATAGTAATAGTTTTACACAAGTTACATTTAATATAGACATCAAAGTAATACAAGTAATAATATAGATGCACCTAGGAACTACGCTGTCTCCACAAAAGCTCCTGGGATGTACCTGTCTATTGTTGACCTAAGAATACAAGTTATTTTGAAAGCGAGTATCAGCATTTTTATAAATGCTGGTGAGTTCATAAGTATTTAGTGTCATTTGTGTAAG